ACCCCATGGTCACACTAATCCGACGACGACGCCTCAGAAGACAGCATGTCGTCGTAGTGTAACATAGTGACAAACCGAAATCAACAGCAAAACGCATCGGCAGACCTGTCGTCGGCGTGTCGTGGGGAGATCTGTGGCTGAGCGACAATTTGTTCATGTCTTTGCCTCAAACAACCACGAATGCGGAAATCTTGGAGGAGATAGCAATGCCCCTTCAGAGGCTTCCAGGGAGTTTCAATAGGCATCGTGCACACCCCACGAAAGTCTTTTCTTCGCTTCCCTTTATGTGTCCCCACCCCGTCCCTTGATGCCGTGAATTATGGCGGGGGCTGCGCCGCGTAGCCGGAGAGGGCAATGACACAGCAGGGAGCGTGGATGAAAATGAGGTGCAGGTGTGCAAGTTTAGTCAGTGTCGCTGCGTGTGCCTCTAGTGTGACTACAAAATTGGCCAACGAAAGGCTGTGAGCACGACAAGGCACGGACGGAGACCATCGGTGAACTGTGTGTGTCGTTGTAGTGTAAATTTGACGCTTCCAAAGGACGTTGGCAGACCAAAAAAGTGGGGGGCCCTCAGGCTTCGCCTTTAAGAGTTGAGCGCGATAGCGAAATTAGGCCCCTAGTGCACCTTTCAATGGGTAAGTGCATGCTTATTAATATGTTTTGCTACATACATACACACACGCGCACGCACACACAGTAGATTGTACCAGTCAGCGCACGCGAATGGTACATACAGGTTTTAAATGCGAAGCATTTCTTAGAGTGAAGCGAACATACATGAAGCGAACATACGTGAAAAGTGCCACCAGGTTCATCCGGCGGAGCACGCGATTCGCACCGAGTATAAACTACAGCTGGGCATCGCACAGCTCTCCTAAAACACGCAAAAGAAGCAGCACTCGTGCATTGACTCGCTGCCACAAGAGAACACCTAGCACACAGCCGGGGCCGCTTCGAAGGCCGCTGCGGCGGCTGCTCGTCGTAAATCGCAAAATGTTTATCTGCTTTGCAGCTAGGAATTAGTGCGGGTGTTTGCGATGCCACGGCTTGGTGGCGTTAAGCCCAAACTCCATAAGCGCGAAAATGCACGCGACAGCGACGAGCGACGCTATGAGCGACGAGTAATTTTCGCGCGATCGCTCGGTTCTCCAGATTTGGAAACCGTCGCTCATCGCCCGGAAGTGCTGGGCTCAAGCAGCCAATAGCGAAAAACCGGAAAAGACGAAGACTACATAGGTGCACGTGACCCTGCCCGAGTCACGTATGCGCAACAAGAAATAACGCAATGTTTATTACGCATGCGCATATAAAAAATGCTGCAAGGCAATAATAAACACTTTTCGTTCCATTACACAACAATATATCTTATTTTTAAATTGGAAACCGCTCGCTACGCGGTTTTCTTGGTGCGAGTAGACGGCCTCATGCCAGCAACAGTGGAATTCGCTCGCCGAAGCCGTCGCGTGAATGAGGTTTGCCTGCCCTAGCGACTGATCGCGCGACGCCGGTCTACGTCGCGTCGCTCGTCGCTGTCGCGTGCATTTTCGCGCTTATGGAGTTTGGGCTTTAACCACCGCCCGATCTAAAGGTACCGCCATATCAATTCATCCATCGATCCATACATGGGCCGACTTCCATTGAGGAAGGAAACATGTAGAAGAGGCCATGACGTCATATTCGTGCAGCCGCCACATCCCAAACACCCGCACTACCTCCTAGCGGAGAAGCAGATAAACACTTCGCGATTTACGGCGACCAGCTGCCGCAGCGGCCTTGGAAGCGGTGTTCTCTGCCGGCAGCGAGTCAATCCACGAGTGCTGCTTCTTTTGCGTGTTTTCTTAGAAAAGCTGTGCGATGCCCAGCTGTAGTTTATACTCGGTGCGAATCGCGTGCACCGCCGGATGTACCTGGTGGCACTTTTCACGTATGTCCGCTTCACTCTTGATGGCATTTGCAAGCGGAGCTCTCAGCTGTACGCTCCGTTGGTTCTTACTCATTGTATCAACTGTGAACACACGCGAACTTTCGTTTTTACTGTTGTAGGCATCGTGTCGCGTTTGTAGAAGTTGTGTCATTCATACGGAAGGACAATAAACTTTTCCTGTAACCGGACTAGGTGTGTAAGCATTGTACCGTGTGCGCTCGCTGCGTGTTAGTTGTGTTGGCACTGAAAATACACACTTTACGTGCGCGATCACGTATACAATACAGCTGTGCCTTCTTACCAACGTGAAGTGCATCAAGTACTAGCCTGGCGTTGCACGGAATAGCTACGAAGCAAGCTCTCAAAATCGTGCATTGCCACACTGGCACTATATACGAGCAAAGAACTGCTCATCGACCCATAGATAAGGAATATGGCTAAGAGAGAGATTTAAAAAAAAAGGCCTTGCGGTGAGCAGAACGCGTAAGTCACTGCCGGGTGAGTTCGAATACGATGATGCCGGGGCTGCATGATTTTCATTCCGACACAAGCCGGTGCTTTCTGTGCCGTTGCACAAAAACACTCCACGAAGTATTTCAGCACGCCGCGCTCAGATTTGCCACGCACAAAAAGTCTGGGAAAGGTGTGCTCGCAACATTTTACTGCATGCAAATCATACAATACGCGCTAAGCTAACGCCGGGACTATATAAGCGAAACAGCGCTGATAGCACGCCGCGGAGCGTCTGTTGTTTTGTTTGCCCCATACCAGTTTGTTCGCCCCATACGTTTGACGTCACTTCCGCCACACTTCTCGCAATGCATTCGGATAGGATAGGGCCTCTCCTTAGTTTTTCCTTCTTCCAAGGCGACTTCACGAATATGATGTCATGTCCTATATTTTACCTTCCTCCATGGAGAGCGCAGCCCGCAGTAGTTCCCACTTGCTGTGGAGGCACTAGGCGCGCACTGATCGTTTTCACGATAGCGCAGCAACCATCAGCACCCTCCCTCCGCCACCCCTTGCTCACTCACTATAAGCGCACGCGTAGAAGACCCCGGCTGGAAAGGTGATGAGATATATATATATATATATATATATATATATATATATATATATATATATATATATATATGTGTGTGTGTGTGTGTGTGATTTAAAAAAGAAATTCTGTGGGTCCGGTGCAAATATAATTAGGAATAAAGGAGCACACTTAGGAAAACTTGATAGTTGTTTACTCTACGTTTCGGCCGTGGCACGGCCTTCGTCAGGATTAATCTGACGTCAGAATTAATCCTGACCTTCGTCAGGATTAACCTTCGCCAGGATTAATCCTGACGAAGGCCGTGCCACGGCCGAAACGTAGAGTAAACAACTATCAAATTTTCCTAAGTGTGCTCCTTTATTCCTAATTATATATATACACACACATATACGTGAATGACGGCAGCGACGGCTACGGCAAAAACCAGCCAAGACTGTCCATATAGTTGCTATCACTATAAAAATGTTCGCGTGCTCTCACATTGAAACATCGACGCGTCTGTCCAATGCACTTTTTTTTCCGGAGCAGAGTGTTATCTCGTATACCACATGGGTAACAAAATCGGTGTATCAATCAGCGTGCTTCTTCTTGCAAGATTTTTTTCTTTTCCTTGGTCAATATGTAGGCCAAATTTGAGCTAACTGTACCAACTAGCCCAGCAACGAATCCTTCTTGAAGTTATGTACCAACAAGCCCACTTTTCGCCACCTCGCATTTTATACCAATACGTTGTTTCGAAGGCTCCAAAATGTCTTCTTGCTGTATTTCCGTAATTCATAGAAGCAAGAAATAAAAACACTGGCCATGTATCTTCATGCTTCACTACAAATGTCGTCGAAATATGATAGCCTTGTACCGGAGCTTGTGAAAAACCTAGGGCTACTGCCAGGTGGCAGCACCATATATTCGGCCGAAGGCTTTTTCGTGCATAGTGCCGAATTTTCAGCGCAGCGGAAGAGACTATAAGGTCTTGAGAATTACGTATATTCGTATTATCTAATAAACAAACACACCACCCAATACTTCCGTATTAATGTTCCGCCTTAGATATGCGTCATATTTGCTTTTTGATACACAGCTTACAATTCAAGATGACTGGGCGTTCAGCAAGTGCTTGAGCTATGGCCGGGAAACTATTATTTTTAAAAACTATCGTTTTTAAAATGAGGTGAAACTGTCGCGACACGAAAGGTCACTTTTTTTTTCTTCCAAAGCTACTTCACTAGAAGTGAACTTAGAGACACGAAGCATGCGGTTCGTACTCTTTCATTTAAGGAGTAGATAAGTGAGAACACATTTCTAAAGTTAATGAGGGAAATTCTACCTCGAGTCACCACTCGAATTGAAATGACAGCAGGAACAAAGCCTTTGAATGTATTCGTTGGATTAACAGTGAGCAGGTCCGCCAAGCAACGGCGTGGAGAGAAGATGGGGGGTTCAGTCAGGCCTCAATGTGGGTTAAAACACCTGAAGAAACCCCCATCCCCACGTCGGTGCACGAGTAATTAGCCCTTTGTTTATATTTGTCCTAGCATGTGTGAAATCATTAATAAACGCTAATTTTAGGAACGGATTTTCTTGGGACGCAGGCTTTTCCGGCGTCGTAGCAGCCACCTCTATGGCGATGGCGCTGTGGCGCTGTGGCGCTTGTATCGCTAGTACTCTGCTCACTAGATGTCGCTGTGTTGCTTGCTCCACTCTAATGCGTGCTCTAGTGTAATAGGCGCAGCCGCTGTGACCACCGCTATTACTCAGAGCACTTATTAGATGGCGATGGCACTGTGGCGCTCGCACCTCCTTCGCTGGGAGTCAGACTGACTGAACAGACGGACAGACAGACAGACAGACAGACAGACAGACAGACAGACAGACAGACAGACAGACAGACAGACAGACAGACAGACAGACAGACAGACAGACAGACAGACGCGCACAAATAGAGGCGGATCCTGAACTGAGAGCCCACGAATCTTCACCCTACTGATCATCATTCACTCCGTGAATATACTGTGATTTTTTTTATCTCTCCAGGACCCCCGGGAGCTGCTCATCCTCAGTCTGCGCCGAGAAGTCCGTTTACTACGCATGGAGAACAGCTATCTCCGCCAACAGGTTTGTGCACTTTAATCTCTGCAAGGTTTAAAATAAATTTCGCTGATTATAGCAAGCACAGTATCTAAGCTTAAAGTCAGGGAGCTTGCTTCAAACAGACGAAACGTCATCATGAGAACACGTAATGATAGCAAACACTAGCTCCGAAAACTGGTGAGCGGCCACTAGTAGGCAGTGTATTCACATAAAACTTTTTCTCTCGTGAAACAAAACAGAAAGCCGTTGACTGGAGGATATCTTTAAAAACAACCGAGCTCGTTTGTAAGTACTCACAAAATGATGCAAGACGTGCAAACATAAACGCAAGAGAAAAAAGTTAAACCCTCTCCCACTAAAGCGAACCAGCAGCGCTGGTGTTCACTTGTGTTTAAAATGTTTTCATCATCTATTTGTATGTTTTCATGTATGTTTTATTTGTGTGCGGAGCTGTGTGTATGTTGTGTACCGCTTGTGTCACCCCCCTTCTCATTTGTGTGTATTAGCATGTGTGTGCCCAAAGTGAAAACCCAGCGCTTCTAGTTGGGTGCAGCGGAGCGAGCACGCGCAGCAATATAGCGTACGAGCGCATAGCTGTCGTGCACAGATAAACGGGAGGGGAGAAACGAAGCATAGATAGCGATCTGCCACCTTCTCCACCCCTCCTTCTGCCCTCTCCTCGCTCTCACGTGAGGAGAGGGGCTAAGTTGGCGCATGCGCAGTAAGGGTCGTCACGCCTCAATCTCTCTGACTTAACTGCGCCGTAGGCAGCTTCGCATCTAAAACAGTGGTCTAGAATAAACTGAAACGGCACACTATGGCGTGAGAGAAAAACACGAAGCCTATGTATTATCTACGCTGGCACAGCCACGGCTGCGCTATCAGCCTGGTACATGCGGAATGATTGACGAAAGACGATTGTTCAGTCATTCAATTCCTTTATTACGTACACGCTAAGCCATAAAGGGCACAAATGCGTCTATGGTTCGTCCTTTAAGAGAGTAACTGCATTGCCAATACCATTATTCCCCAAGGATGCACAATCCATCAAGGGTCGGTCGGTCGGTCGGTCAGAGAACTAGCTTCAAATGGACAACACTTTACTATGACACAGACAGCGTGAACGTCATCGAAAGCATGTGCGCTACCCCGCGCTGTGAGCACGCGCCCAAGATCCATCACGGAACACACAGACAAAACGGCAGGCCTGTGCAGAAAGCGCAGCAGAGTCACATCGAAAGCTAGAAGAGCGGCCTTTCAAAGCCTTTTGAAAGCAACCATTGGGTAACTACTGCAAGCACACTTGCTTGTTACCCACTAGGGCAATAATAATAAATTTTCGGGGGTAGTATAACGACATTCGCTATGCTATTCTTTGTCATTCTTTTGAGAACCGTGGTATCCACTAAACACTAGCAAGGAATGTCTTGCAAATCGTTCATGCAGTGGTTGACGACGATGAAGAATTACCGCTGAAGTGGGTACGCGCCACTGTTAACAGGAGAAAAAACAAGCTTTTGTAATGGGTTGAGCATTGGGCAGCCCACTTGTTACGCTATTCGCATTGTGCGACGACTGGTTGTTTTTTCGCTGTTTTAAAACACTTTATACGTCGTATTAACGCGATTTCTTTCCCGACATCAAGCCTGCCTAAAGCAAGTTTGCCAACAAGTCACAAGCACTGGCGTATCTCATTGGTAGAATGTTGGGCTGGCACTCAGCGGACCAGGGTTCAAGCCCCACTGTGTCTTTAATGCTAGGTTTTTCTTATTTCGTGTGGTGTGGTTACGGACACCGGCGGCGGACAACTGCGCGTGACCAGAGTTGTGATCTCAAAACAGGTTTCGCTATAAAGATAAAGCATTTACATAGAGAGCCACTAAACACAAAATTTTGGAAGAGGTGTTAATCGTGTATGTATCCGTTACACCCCAAGAAGTGTTAAGTTCACAGGACGTGCGAAAATCAGTTTCAAATACCAGCATGCGTCTTCATAAAGAAGCATGGAGAGCAATCTTGCCACGTGTCTTAAAGCGCCATCATGCTTGGAGAGAAATATAATCAATTTTCACTTTAGCAGAAACAACGCCCGCGTGTAACTGAACTCGAAGTTCCCGCGAAGGGTTGATTGTTTTAGAAACACAGCGTTCTGCTTGAAGTCCCGTCTACACGCCGATCGGTATGAGCTGCCGGCAGCGGTCCTACGGACACGCGTCGCTGTTACTTTGTCTGGTTGATCGCATCTCCCGAGTGTCCCCACCTAAATTGCTTGTATCTTAAACCGTGCTCACGGTACAAGGTACAAACAATTTAGGAGGGGACATTCGCGAGGACTAGGTGGCGGTGTGACTTGCGGACGTTTCCGCATAGGCCCCGGCAACCGACGTTGTTCAACTGAGTCCATATGTGCTTTCCATCCGAGATTTCTTCCGGAGGAACTCCGTGAAGTTTCAAGGAACACCTAAATATCCCATTTATCTCGGTGGGTCCACTGAAGCCTCTTTTCTGGCGCCTTTCTCCGACACTAAGGGTTAAGCCTTTTTGTGCTTATGCACGGCATCCAGTGCCGCGGCACGGAAATGCGGGACGCGCGGACTTGTTCGGCCGACCCCCGATAAGGCCATGCCTCCTGAGGCTATGGTGGATGCAGGGCCAGACCATTCAGGGTTGAAAGGGTTTCAAATGAACAAGGCCTTCCGGTTTCACGGGAAGAAAAAAATGGCCGACTTGGTTGTTTTGTTCGAAAAACTTTCGCCGTCCTGCTGGGTCCTGTCGTTCCCTACGTGGGAGGCGCGCGCTACGCGTTAAGCGCATCCTGCAGAACTGACATGAAGTTTTTTTTTTCATTTCATTTCATTCCTGCTGGGTTCCCCTGATAGAAACAGATTACCTATTTCAGTAACCAGTATACATGCTTTTAAGGGGTCGCTCGTCGTATAACGTGCATAATCTTAAACTTAGCTCACAGTTCTGCAGTCTGCGGTACAAACCTTTGACTCGCCCAAGACCATGCATCATGTAAAGAGAAATAGCTGATTGATTTGTGGGGTTTAACGTCCCAAAACCACCATATGATTATGAGAGACGTCGTAGTGGAGGGCTCCGGAAATTTTGACCACCTGGGGTTCTTTAACGTGCACCCAAATCTGAGCACACGGGCCTACGACATTTCCGCCTCCATCGGAAATGCAGCCGCCGCAGCCGGGATTTGAACCCGCGACCTGCGGGTCAGCAGCCGAGTACCTTAGCCACTAGACCACCGCGGCGGGGCAAGAGAAATAGCTGACCCAGTGGATGGACACACGGAGCAGCCGGACAAAGATTTCAGAAGCTACGCGAAGGCGCATAGAAAGTGGTTCCTGTTTGGAATATCGTTTATAGCGCTTATTTAATGCGCCTAATGTTTAATATTTATATTTTAAAGCACCTGTTCGATGGGATGTGTCACATGGCGCCATGCAACGGCGATATTGCAAACCATTTCTGCGCGCCAATGCGCGCTCTCTGAATAAACAGTCCGCCTCCCGGTTGTCGGCATTGCGTGACGTTCTTCATAGCGCTCTGGCGCTAACGCGCCCATTGTCTCCGTCGGACGGTGCCCCGGCGGCGATACAACCAATTGGCCACGAGATGAACAAGAAGTAAGCAGCTTACATACTTCGTCGGCATCCTACGCGGATTCCCACCTTTTCGGGCACACTTACAGGGGGCACCACTCTACTTGCCCGCTGCTAATGACTTAAGCCTACTGCGCTACTGCAGCCACCTCTGCACGTTTGGCCAATACTTGCTGGCCCCAGTGACTCGCTGACGCATACTGCCGATGGCGACTCCTCAGTGCTTCAACGTTTCAGCATGACGTGTGCGAATGCTCCTCCACCGTTCCTGCAGACTCTGGGAACTCCTCCCGTGCCTTGGGCTAAATGGCGCCGTGTCTTGCAGGCGTATGTCGACGTCGCCGCTGGAGACACCACCCGGCTGCTCTAAAGGAGAGCCTACTACTTAGCGCACTCGGAGTTGAGGGCCTTGATGTCTACTGGACACTATACGAAATGCACAGGACTAGGCGGAAAGCGCGGACGGGACTCTGGACAAAAGCACGCAGGATGAATGCATCGCAGCACTCACTCTGCTAGAGAACCATTTTCAGGCTCCGAGCAATGAATATTCAGAGCGTCACTACTTCGAAATGCGCAAGCAAATGTCAGGGGAATCAGTTACTAAATACGTTTCTGCTTTACACGCAACGGCGAGCAAATGCAACTTCGGCGCCTCCGCCAATTCCATGGCCCCGGTCCGCTGTTCAGCGGCATAACTGCACAAAATGTTCGAAGACGACTATTACAACTTGGTCTCACCCTTACTTTACCGCAAGCAATTCAAATTGCGAAGGAAGAGGAGCGTAGCGAACTCGAAATGCAGGAATTCGCGAACGCACAAGTTGAGAAGATTGGATTACGTCCAGGTTTACAAGATGGCCACCAAAAGCAAAAGTAAGGTCGACGGCCTCCCCGACAGGCCTCCCCCGCGGCCACCTTGGCAGAAAGCCAACATGGCCGCGGGCATCACGACTCCCGTCCTACAACATGAAATTTTGCAAGCCACCTGGATGGACCACACCGATATGACTCGGGTGTCTGCTACAGATGCCGATCTCATCAACACTACGCGAATTTTCTGAATTGTCCAGCCCGCAACCGCACTTGTTCTGCCTGCGGGAAACGAGCCCACTACCGAGCTGTATGCCGCTTACCAAATGGCAGCACGTCTCTACAGAACGTAACTGAAGTACAAGATACTGCTGTAACAAACACCGTTACAATCCTAAATATTGATGAGCGCTCCATATGTCCTTCGCCGCTGAAGATTACTATTAAATGTGGTCAAGTCAACATTCCTTTCCTCGTTGACACAGGCGCAACTGTATTATTCATTGCTTAACTTACAAGATTTCAAGAAGTACGTTTCTGGGACTATCCTACTTGACTCGTACGTTGTTCTTCAGGACTATTCAAAGAAATGCA